ACAGGTCTCACTGCTCAGCAGCAGTTCTGGTCCAGGTTCCCACTCATGGCTTCGAACTGCTTGGTTTTATAGACAGTGCACTGTCTGCTGTTACTCTTCCCTGTACTATGTGGGGTCATCAACACCACCTGGTTGGCCGGGTGCCTGGGACCTTCAAGGCCAGCAAGGAAGGGAGTAATCATCCTGGCGCCCAGGAATCTTGAGGCTGATAGGGAGGGGAAGAAGAAATCTGGTTTGTCTACTTGGTTCACAGGACCTTCAGAGCCTGAGAATGTGGGGAGAGGGAACAAGCATGTGACCTGCTTGGTCACAGAGAATTGCAGCTTGCTTCGTAAAATGGCATTAGTTACACTAACTGTATTACCAGGGGTCGGGAGCAGGGGGTGCCAGTCACACCTAGTTTAAGAAGTTTGAAAGTTGAGGGCGAGTACTCGTTAGCACAAGTAGGGTATTATCATTTCAAGCTGAACTACTATCCAGGTAATTATCTTGCACTCACCAGCACAAGGTGCTGTAGAGGCATGTAGTACCAGCAAGTTCAGAAAGGGTTTAGATGCACTTACTAACGTCTATTCATTGCTCACAAACGGCTAAGAAAGTGCTTGCTGACATCTGTGGCATTGTTGTGGATGCTGGGTGGTCTGAGAGGTTTCAGTTAGTTGTAGCCTGGATTTTCTACTCTGACCACATAGTTTTGCCTGTTGAAGCTGGCAGAGATAACAAGGGCCTCGGCAGACCCTTGGTCTAATCCAGTGAAAGCTTGGAACTCAAAATAAGTCATCTGTCACTGGAACTTGACTGCTTATTTTAAATCTCTTCTGTTTTCACTTATGGCTTGGTCAGACTGTCTCATTTGAAATTGTGTATTGTAAAACTCCTTCACTATCTTACATGTAATATTTACTAGTTAAACTCCATATTAATAGCACAGTAGATGTAAGATAGCCTCCAGGCAGGACAACAATCATCCAAACATAAATTTGGATGTTATACCAGTGTTATTTATGTTCTTGGTGGGGTACTTGTGCTGATAGTGATTGATCAATCTCTTGAATTATGTAATGATCTTTCCGAGTTAAGTAATGGTATAATTATACATATTATACATGTTATACTGTACAAAACTTAGTCTCTTGCTTATGAATTCTGGATTATTAAAGTATTTGATTCTAAAACTTGCTTCCCAGAACTGCATGTGGTCTGTCAACAGGACCTAACAGCTGTAGTTCTGAAATAATCTTACAACTTTCTAGGGAAATAACATCCTCATTTACTGATTTGAATATTGGACTACACGGTATTATATTATTTCAAAAGTTATATTTTGCTTAATAAAATACTTTATTCTGAGAAATTTACTGTCTTTGTGATGTAGGGCCTGGAGGAGGGAGTGTTCTGTTTTTTAAGGGATGATTATAATTTTGAGCATGTTCAGATTTGGATTCAAGCCAGCGTAGTTTATCCCTTCCCTTAGGCTGGCTAAGCACTAAGTTTCTATCATAAACTAGGCTTTTAAAAGAGAGGGGAGAAGCTTCTGTGAAGAAGTTACTGATTATTAGTTATATACAAAACCTGATTACTAACTGCTGTTGATGGGTCTGAATTGTAAGGATATGCACAACTTGCAAACTAAAATTTGGTGGTTTGCATCCACTATAAAATATTCATGGATGTGAGTAGAGAAGAAACAAAATTCAGTACAAACTAATAAAATTCTTGCTCGTGTTTTCAGTAAAGGTTTTTGGTTTAGCCAGCTCATTTGAAATGTAGAATGAGTCTTTCAGTGGTAGCCTGAAGGCTAATTTAGTCACAAACAACTAGAATATAATTTGCTTGCTGCGTTTTGTTACTCGGGAGATGACAGAGAGTAGTAGTGCATACCTGCAGGAAGATAGTTTTCTGTTTGTTTTATAGCCATAGGTATTATGCTGAAAGTAGTACAAAATACCTCTCCTAGATCTGCATAACTATTTTGCTGCCAACAGCCCAGTGACTTTTCTGCTTGAAGGGAGATTACTTTCAAGGAGTATAGGATTAGTATAGTAGCACTGTCATTATACAGATTGAGCTGTTCTCTTACCAGGTGAATCATTTAGATGATACATTGGTAAGGTATTCATACTTATACTTTAAGTAAGATCAAATTTGCTCGGAGTTCATTCCAGACAGAAGATGACTAGTCAGTGACTGGTATGTGCATAAAGGCAAATAAATAAAGTATACCTTGTTATGGTGGACTATATAAAAACATCTTGTGTAGTGGACCACAGGGTGAAAAGTAATACTGAGGAACATGTGCAAGTATTTTGTGATCTGGTATGTTTCTGGATTTGGATTGTTTGTTTGTTTTGTTGTGGGTTTTTTCCTTGGCTGCTGGTATGTTTTGTAAATTGTGCAGTACTTTAGAACTGGGGTTTGCTGAAATATTAAATTCTGAGTTTATGCCCTTCCTAAGAAATTCATTTTACAGGTGTGTGTATATATACCAAGTATATTCCCATGTGGATCTGAAGAAGCAGACACCTTAAAGATATGTTCAACAGCTTACTGCTAATGTGTAGCCTTGGATTCATGAGGTGGCTCCTATTATATATATGTTAAATATTTGAGGCTTGCAAGTGCCTCAAAATTGTCTTGAGCAAATATGGTTGGAAACAATATAGCAAAACCTCTGAAAATCCATGTGTTTTATTTCTGCATGTCAGTCACCTCACTAAAGAAAGTTTCCTTCTGCTTTACAGCATTGTGCACTCTCTTAAAATTCAAGTCAACCATCTTGAACTACGCCAACCGACATACCTTCAGACACTAACTTAACCTGCAAAGTTACATTATGTGGACCTGCAAAACATCATGGCTTTGCTAGGATTAGGCTTGGAGTAGTTTAAACCAGCAGACTTGAATTTTAAGCGCATTTGGCAGAGAACCTCCCCCTTTCCCCCCGCTGCTTTGATACTGCAGAAAATTCAGAAAGACATCTTAAATTTCACTAATTCTTTAGTATCAGTACAGTTTTCATTATAAATCACCTTGTAAATGAAATGCTGTAATGCTAATGCTTTATATATGGGCTTGCTGAAGTTTCAGGGGACTCTCTTTGATAGCTGCATTGCTGCTTGTGAGCTGCAGGCACCCTGTATTCCTGTCGGCCTGTCAAGGAGGCTGTCCTCTGAGACCTCATTTTGACAGATTATTTCAGAGACTTTTCTTTGTTTCAACACTATTGTTTGCTCTGCTTTGTGGGAGCGTGTCTGAATCAGGATGAACTGGTGTGGTTTTGTTTGTGATGTTTCAAAAACTGTGTTCTCTTCCTTGTAGTAATGTGTGAGGAGAGGCAAAGAAGAAACAGTAAATCCTGTTGACAGTGAAAGATCTTGGCTTCATACCAGTTAGTGTTACTGGCTTTATGACTAGTGTCTGACTATGTAAAAGCTAAGGAGGACTGTGAACATTACTTTGGTGTTGCTTGTGTTACTGATGTCTTGCTATTTAGCTTTTTATTGTTCAGATAAATGTGATGAAACCAGTTTGTAGTGGCCCATTGTCTAATTTGTATATACTGTTCTCCAAGCTACTGCAATGTTCTTAAAATAAACAAATTTCACTTTCATGTATTTTTCACCTTGGTGTGCTTCTCATAGAACTCACTTGAAAGCTCTTCTTGTTTAAAAGGGAGTACAAAGTTGCGTATGACTAACTTATATTCATAGTTTTTTCCTAGGAATATAGTCTTACTAAATACCTTACAAATATTTACATAGTTTAGAGGAGTTGGTTTTGTGCTTCATTTTGAAGAAAGTGTGTAGTATTGGCTCCTTGTATAGGAAAGCAGTTCATGGGATGAAAACCCAATCGCTTTGTGCTTTTGACTTGAGAGGGTGCTGTTAGAAAACATAAGCAGTAGGAGATAGCATATGGTTGAGCTGTATCTACGCTATATCCTACTTACAGCAGCTTTGACTATTTTCTTAAAGGTTTTCTTTATTATTTCATCTATTATTTTGTTCGTTACTGTTCACCCAGTAACGATTCTGATGGTTTCTACAGTCTGTCTCATGTAGTCTGTAAAATCACATCTTGAATAAAGATTTGCTTAAGGAAAAGGATTACACAGAATCACAGAATGTTAGGGGTTGGAAGGGACCTCTGTGTGTCATCTAGTCCAACCCCAAAGTAAAATGAGCTCTCAAACCATGACAAAGGTGAGTACCTGAATTGTGTAGATATTCAGCTGAGAATTCCCTTTGGCTTTCATGAGATAAGCTTGTGTCAGAATTCAGGTAGAGATGCACACTGGAATTACATGGCATATGATTTTGTCCTCAAGGAGGTGCTATTTATTTTCAGAAGCAATGAGATCATACTTAAGCCCAACTCTTCCTGCTTTTGCAGCTGTCCTAAATTTCAGTAAATATTGAGCCTGAGGACATGCGGACTCCCAGGAGTGCTCTCAAACTTACTGTAATTCAGAGGAGCGTGTGTTTAGAAGCACAGAGATAGGGGAACGGTAGTTGTTTTTTTTTCCCTAACTAACCTTTCACCAGCTGCTTGGCTAGCTGGTTTTGTCTGAGAAGCAGCTAAGACAGTTTTGTGCAAGGAAGCTCTTTAAAGAAAACCCCGCTATTAATGACAACAAAGCACCACTGCTTCTTAGATTGAAAGTTTATTTAGTTTTTCTATTAAATGATTGAATTTTGTTTGTGTTACAACTAATGAAATTCACCATAATTGCTTCCAGTACACAATAGAATATAAGCTTGCATATGTAACCCCCCCCACCATATTCTGTCTCCTTCCATTTTTTGCTTCAATATTTACAGCAGAGTTGCTACCTTTAAGAATTAGGCCATATGTTTGGCAGTTGCACCTGAAGTTTTGACATACACCATGAAATTCTCTACCTACATGTATTTTAAGTCTAGGAAAAAATAGTCTCTTATAATGACAGCTCCTGAGATAGATGAAGTATAAAAACTTTCTTCTTCCTTTTTCCTCATCAGGAAATACTGATGAAGATGTTGTGGTGATTGAAGCATCCTCCACTCCCCAGGTCACTGCTAATGAAGAAATAAATGTTACCTCAACAGATAGTGAAGTGGAGATTGTCACAGTTGGTGAAAGCTACAGGTGAGACTTGCATCTCTGTATTAATACAATTTTACTTGACTCCTAAGTTTGTTACAAGGCTCTGTATCATTAGAAGTCCATAAGGTAATGTCACAGAAATTATAATCAGGATGCATAGTATGCATTTTTGATTTAAAAAGGAAAAATAATTTAAAAACACAAAGAAAAAAAACCCAAAACCCCCAACAAAGAAACAAACAAAAAAACCCAAACCACAGCTTTTCCAAAGCTTGACAATTCAACTAATCTGGAATTGTTGAGGTGGTTGTAGTTAGTGCGACTGATGGGCAGAATTTTGCGGAAGTGAAACTGTACAGCAAGATCCTAGAGAGAGCAAGTTTAGGCTGAGCTGACTATCTAGATATTAGCTAAACATTTCTGAGGAAAGTATGCTACCTTTTAGAAGCTGCTGGTGTCTGTGCTTTCCTGTTCTTCCATGCCTTTCTGGGAGTTTTGTTCCACATTTGTCAGATTTTGCAGGATCTAGTAAAGTGAGTTCCTTGAAGAGGAAAACTTGAAACTGTGATGTGCGTGGGACTCTTGGATCTGGCTACCTATTACGTATGTTTTCGTATCTGTGAACAGAAAGACAAAATGAGGAATGACTATCCAATTTTTTATAAAATAATGACAAAATAACAATAGGCAGTAAATTATGAAAACATTCCATCTGTTCTTCATCAGTTAATGCTTTCACTGATGTAATTTTAAATTTAAAATAACAGACAAGTTTTCCTGCAAAATTCGCTTTTAGTGGAATAGATACCACATTGAACAAACCAATTTTATGTTTAAGACAAATGTGTGCGTAGTGTAGATTTCATGAACACTTGGAACTAACTGAATTTTTTGTTAAACTCTGACACACCAAAGGTGTCATACTCTCAAAAATATGCAGCCCGAATTGATAGCAAAGAGGAAGTGGGGAGAGATGAGAAATCAGCATTTTAAGAATTCATTTCTTCAACAGTATTTTTCTTTATATTTCCATCTGTTCAAAACAAAACAAAAGCTGCAGAATCAACAGGTGCTGTCTTGAGATGATTAGAAGCATGTTTCTAGAAATAGTTTATTTATCCACATGAAAGTATTTGTTGAGACGAGTCATTAAACTTGTGAAACAACATGTATGCCTGAAAAGAGCTAGATCAAGTTAATGCTTTAGCCTCTTATAACTAGCATGTAAAGCTTTAAATGGTAAAAAATTGGGCTAGATGAAAGTGATTGTGCTTACAGACCATTAATTCAAATATAATTAAAGACAGATAAGATGCTTTTAAAAAATAGTTTACTCTCTTCCTAGCATCAATGTTTTGTGTAGTAGCCATAAAAGACTTGAAAACAAAATTACTGCTTTTTTCCCTTACCCCTGCAGTGCTACAGCCAAAACTGCATCAGCAACGGCATACATCCACAGACTGATATACAGAGCACCATATAGCTAACATATTTGTTGGTAATTTCAGAAAAATCCAAAGAAATCTCTTACTGTTGAATTTACAGCTTGCATTGAAAAACAAAAAATATGGGTGTGGTGAGTACTGCACTGGTTTTGATATGAAGCTGGAGTTCCTGTAAGAGAAGTAAACACTGACAATCCTGCATACCCTTCCACAGCTAATTTATCCTCTCCTTTACTACCAAACCCAAGGTGCTCCCATGAACCTTAACCCTTGGTTAACTGAAGGGGAGGGGAAGATCAAGTAGGAGGTGAGACCTTAAACTCTCCTTGTATTATGAATGTGCACCTTGGGTCACCAGAGAGTAATAGCAAATTTTTTAAAGGGGCTTGGGAAGTAAGTTTGATTCTGTATGTAGTAGGGCACACACAAATAAATCTGGACATTATGTAAATCTAAACTTTAAAGAAAATGTGCCTTTTTGAACCAACCCAATCTTTGAATTACCATGAGTGCGGAGGTGGAATTGAAGTGTAAGACAGTTGACAAGACTGCAGCAAGCACATTTTTTGCACTACAGGAAAGTAACAGTGATCTTTGTCACTGAGTTACACAGATAGGAGTGAAGGGAGTACAGGCAGAACAGAAATGTAGACTGAGCTCCATGGTGATTTATGCAGTGGGTTTTGTTTTTAGTGAGGTCATTCCCTTTTCTTCACATTTTCCTCTTCTGAATTTCTGAAGTCTGAGTACATTGTTTTTCCAAAGTGGAAAATAAGAACCACTTGATTTCTGTAAACACTGGAGAGTCAAAGGTTTTTCAGAATGAACTGGTAAATACAATACTGTAAAAATAGTCTTCGCTTAATTGAGGACAGTATCCTCTTAACTGAAACTCAAAAGCATCATTGAGTGTTTGGGTTTGTATGCCTAAATTGAATAAAATGGGTGCTAAGTGTTATACTACAGAGGTAAAACCCTCTTTTTCCGTAGATGTGGTTACAGGCTTATGATTTCCTCTCCTCAAGCCACATTTCATTTAAGTTTAATTGTTACACAAAGCTGTGTTTGTTCTTGGGGGGGGAGGGGGGAAGATAATATACAACAGAGAAAAGTCCAGAGATTTCACACTTTTAGGACATTTTAGAAATGTAAATTAAAGTATAGAAATCATCCTCTGAGAATATTCTGTCTAAAGTTAACATGCAAAAGAACTTAATGTTTACAAATTTTTGTCTCTACACTTCTGTCATCATTCAGAGATCTGTTTCAGACAGCATAGGAATAGTACAGAATTTTGAGACTCTTTGTTTATTGTTAACAAAGTTAAAACGTAACACCAGATATAATTGCTGCCTGACTGTGGTTGTAGGGTTTCACAGTTAATTTTTGTAAGTTATCTATATGTATTTCGTAGGAGCATGGTTTAAAGACCTTCAAACTCTACGTGTTGGTATTTCCCATTATGTTATCTGGTAATGGGTGCAGTAATGTTTGTAAGTACACATGTAGCGAGTGCTGAGTAGTGGGGTATTTCAACAAAACAAAATGCTTTTCTAATAGTAAAAAAAAATACCTCAAGTAGGTTCTCAAATAGTGGGGAGAAAAATGTAGTAACGGCAAAATTTAGGTCAGTACTTAAGGTGTTAACTGTTTCAAGGTCTCGTTCAACACTTGGACACACAAGATCACACTGGGGGCAGAGCTCTAGTTCTCAGGCTGCACGACCTCAAGAGCAGCGGAACCGCAGTAGGATTTCCACAGTCATACAGCCACTGAGACAGAATGCAGCTGAAGTAGTGGACCTTACAGTGGATGAAGATGGTAAGTTGCATTGGTCTGAGAAATCTCTTCTTTTTTCTGAAGCAGGATGATCAGTGTAAGGGGAGTGGAATTGATTGCATCAGTTATAACATACCATTCTGTGAAGAAGTCTAAATTCTGAACAAATTAATTTCTCAGCCTGTCAGAAAAACCTCTTGTGGCCTTCCCTTTAAAATTAAAAGTTTAGCCACTCCCAGTGGGTCTACTAGATCTAGTTTTTCTTCCAAAACAGACTTGGGTGTGTGTCTGAGGGCTGACTCAGCAGGCAGAAATTATAGAACAGGTTGGAACTACTGCTTTAAAAACATGCGCTTACTTCCGTACAACACTATAAAAAGAAAATCTATCACTGCTTATGCTTTGGAATAGTTACTGTTCTTTCAGGCCTTGGTGAAAAAAATAATTAGAAAAAAACACTATGCAAACCAAAACCACCAAAAACCCACAACCCCAAACTAGTGAAGTATGTTAGGTTTCTGAAGCTGTAACCTTTGATTGTTTCCTACCATTAAAACCTGCAGCTGAAAATCGTAAGAGCAACTTCCACGTATTGTCAGAAGTTGAGGGAAGGGAAAAACTAAAGCTCATGTACATTTTTGCAGGTTTATTTTTAGTGGTGGTGGTGGTGGTTCTGGGGATTTCTTGGGTGTATGCTGCTTTTAATGTTTAACGGAAGTTTTTTTCCCATTGTGGTTACGTCCCTGAGTGCAGCACAACGTAGTATCTCGCAATATCTTATTCTTCAAGTTGTCTTGTTTTTTTGGGCTGGGTTGGAGAGTTGGAAGGGTTTGGAATTGTTTTTGGTTGTTTGATGGTTTTTAGGATGGAGGATGGGTTGATTTACAGATTGTTTCCTTTGTGGATTTACTGTGAAATATCTGAACAGCTCTATCATTGAAGGGTAGTAGGCATCTATTGCTTTAATTTACTCTTTTAAACTCAAATTACAGAATTTAGTCTTAAATTCAAGAACCAAATTCTTGTAAGAAAGATTACTGCTGAATGAACTTTTACTTCTATAATGCGTATATGTAAGACTAGCTCTCCCCCACCAGAGGAAATACCTTTCTAAGAGGAGTCTTCCAGGATTTCAGGAATATTGTTTTGGGGGTTAGGCATCAAATTTCACAAACGAGCTAGTGTAAAATGGTAAAAATTCTGAATTAACACTGTTACAAGGCAGCTACGCACTTTATCATAACTTCACTGATGTCCACAAAGATACTGGTCTTAAAACTTTGCTAGCTACTTCCATCAGCATAAGGATCATATCTCCATCTGTCCTGGTGGATTAATCTCTGTGAAGTGTGTTGAAATTAAGTTTCTCTTAGCTAGGAGTTTGAGATTGGCCAAGCCCACTGGCTTTTACTGGTTTTGGGGGGGAGAAACGGAACCATCTGTATTGCTGATGGTGAGTCAAAACAGTAACAGGCTAGCAGGGTGATGGAGGCTGGTAGAGTTGAGAACTGACTGCAGGATTGCTTTCAGAATGTATTAGCATCCAATCTTGAGCACTGTGTGATCAAATATCAGTGTTAGGCTATACGTGTCCTATGTAGTTGCTGTTTTTTTCTGAATTGAAACATGAATGCATTTCTCCCAGAATGCTTTGCTTTAAATAAAATTAGTATATTGAAATGCCACATTAAAATCCAAAGGAATTTAAATATAGGTATCAGTTCATGGTTTTTTAATGTGATGAGCTGGAAGACTTGCAAGAAGGGAGATACATTTATTCCCTTGCTCACTGAGTTGCTGATATACTTACTAGATATAGAGCGAAATCTTGAATCAAAACTAGTCATATTTTATTTTGAGACTTTGTGTAAGAGAAGTATTTGAAGTGTCTTGATGCTTTTTTTTCCTCCTGATATCCATGCAGACATTTTTACTAAAAAAACCCCCCTGAGCTGTTTCTGATGATTTTCACTTTTATGGTATCTCATATTTCTAGTCATGTCATTGCCTTCCCAGAAATTAGAAATTTCAAACTTACAGTCAAAAGCAGACTTTTTTAAAACTAAATTTTAATTATGCCACCAAGTCTGTTTACAATTGTGTAGTAGAGAACAAGATTTATGAAGTGTTTGGTGTATTTCACTGGATCCAATTAAATATATTGCTGACTTACCTTTACAATATGCAAAATGAACACGTATGTACTTCTAACAGAATTCTCAAATACTGATGTAATAAATCTGCTTTTAGTGTGTATTGAGACTAGAAACCAAGTTTATCATGCTGTAGCCTTTAGTGCTATACATCTAGAATAACTGAAGTTTGTAAAGTAGTACTGATAATTTAGATGCTACTATGCTGATCTTGGTTAGTTATCTAAAAGTTTTTCTACACTTTGTAAGCATTAACCATAGAGTAATTTGCCTGTAGATTTATGAAAGATTGCAGTAAGTGTTTTCATACTAAAGTACCAAAGTAATTTAATTTCCTTTCTAGTAGCATTATGTTCAGTAAATAAATAAAACTTGATAGGTTAGATTTGGTTGGGAATTGATTTTATATTAATTCTTAAAATTTGAGTTGATTTTTAAAAAAAAGAAAATAACATAATTTCTTCCCCACACACACTCAAGTGAAACAGAATTAACTTTTGTATTTTATACCTGTCAGGCTTTTTTATTCTGACTTTCTTAGCATATGGCAAGACCATAATTGAGAGTTTATTGTAAAATAATTAAAAACCAGCAACGACAATAAAAAAAACCCAGCAGATTTTAAAGCTTAAAGAACATGAAAGCTTTTTTCTTTCGCTAGAGCCGACCGTTGTGCCAACCACATCAGCTAGAGTGGAGCCGCAGGTCGTGAGTTCTGCTTCCAGTAACAGTTCTAGTACGTCTACCTCAGAGCAGGCCTCTGATGCAGCTCCAAACATCTCCAACAGCCAGCCCTCTGCAGCACCAGAGACAACTTCCAGTCTTCCCAGTGGCGGCACTGCTGGCACTTCAGCTGGAGGTACCGAATAAGAGAGCTTTCTAAATTGTTACGTTGCCTCCTAGTACAAAGGAAGTTAATCAACATTCTCCAGATTAAAACAGCATGTGAACTTTTAGTACTGAACATAACAGTAAAAAGTGAGAAGACAGGATTATGAAAAAGATCATTGATTTCTCCCCAAAGATGAAGGAGGTTGTGCTGGAGCCTTCTGCTTTTGCCTGTTGGACTGATTTGGTTATACTTAATGAACCACATCCTTGCTTTTTGAGGAGGTAGAATGAAGTTCACAGGGAATTAAGTCTTCCACTGTAGTGTGTTACAGGGGTGGGATTTTTTTAATGTCTGTTGTAAGGAAGTGAAGGATGTATATAGATCCCTAGAACCTCCCCCTGTAAATTACTTCTCTGGAAGCACATTTATGCAGATCTGTATAGATGCTGACCTATAATAGAGCTGTGTATACAGGTAGCATGCATGATGTTTCTGAAACATGGGTGCTTTGCCCCTGTCTGCAAGTCAGATGAGGTACAAAAAACCTGAGCTGACCACAGTTGCACAAGAGTTTGAGGTCTCTGTGCACTGACCACAGGCACAATCTTTCCTGCTTTGCCTACTGATAACATGTCTTAAATTAGTGGAGTAAGGCAAGTGTCAGATCACGTCCTGTAGTAACTCCCATGAGTACATCCACCTGAACTACTGAGTTTTGGTTCACTTGGCAGGCATAGCTAAATCTTTTGTATCCAGTTTTGTTTCATTTTAGTCTAGATCTCTTTTTCAATCAGTTAATTACTTAATTGGGAAGTACTTTTTTTTTTATTTAAGACACTGCTTTATGGTGATAAGTTTTGCTAATTTCTTTCACTTCGATATTTGTTTATCTTCAAGATGATGTAAGAAGAACTGCATCTAATACAACACTGGAAACTGGCCCTCCAGCCATGCCAAGGTTACCATCGTGCTGCCCTCAGCATTCTCCTTGTGGAGGACCTTCACAGACTCATCATGCGCTGGGGCACCCGCATACAAGCTGCTTCCAGCAGCATGGCCACCACTTTCAACATCACCACCACCACCACCACAACCCTCACCCAGCTGTTCCGCTATCTCCTTCATTCAGTGACTCCAGCTGCCCTGTTGAAAGGCCTCCTCCAGTGCCTGCACCTTGTGGAGCAAGCAGCAGTTCTGGCACCAGTTACCATGACCAGGCATGTTCAATTCTTGTGACTCTCTCTGCGATTTCAAGTTGTTATGGATATGAGAGAATAGCACAGGATGCTGAATTGTGGATTATTCTCTTGTTCCGTAGCAGGCATTATAGAAGGGAACGAAAAAGGAAAATTAGAGCTATAATATATGGACACAAAAAATTGAAATTTTACAGAAAGTCATAATCCAACAAGTAGTCATTGACAGCTATCATCCTCTTGATGAGAGTAAGATGATAGTGGCTGTTTAAGCAAACCAAACATAAATATCTTGAAATCTACTCTGCCGATCATAGCAGTTTTGCAATCCAAATAATTGAGCTGCTTTAAGGGAAGAAAAAATCAAGTCTAATGTGTGTATGAAAGAGTTGCTCCTCTGAAAGCATTGCGTTTTAAGGCGAAGTAACTAAAGTTACGGCTCTAAAACAGTATGGTTATAAGAAAGAACAATACTGTGCAAACCTAATTTACAACATGCAGAGCTATCAGTCTGGTTTCTGTTTTAAGTGTAATGCAGTAGGCACAACTGAAAACGCTAACAACTGGTTTTTTGCCTCCAAATATTTCAATGCATGTAGCTCCCATATACTCACTGATTTATCCATCATAGGGGTTTTGGGGTTTTTTACACAATCTGGTGTAGTGAATTTAGTCTCTGTCACCAGATTCAAGAACTTAAAAATAAGAAATATTAACAATACCTAAATGTTCCAAAGTCAAGCCTTAAAACTTAAAAATTTGGATCCCAGTTGCTTGTGTATTTATTTTTATTTTTATCACATTATGTGTGAGGGTGACTTTGTTTTCAATGTCTGAAGAATTGCTTGAAAAAAAGATATTTTGTTTACGCAGCAGGCATTGCCAGTAGACTTAAGCAGCAGTGGTATAAGAAGTCATGGAAGTGGTGCTTTTCATGGAACATCTGCTTTTGACCCCTGCTGTCCTGGCTCTTCATCTCGAACTGCAATTTATGGGCATCAGGCTGGTGCTGGCCCAAGCCAGTCAATAACAATAGACGGATATGGATCCAGTATGGTTGCGCAGCCGCAGCCTCAGCCTCCTCCTCAGGCATCGCTCTCTTCCTGTCGGCATTATATGCATTCTCCTTGTAAGTACTGATAAATACTGGGTACCCGGTGGGGGGGAACCAAACAAACAAGAAAACAGCTTCCCTGACAACATATGAAAACTCTTTACTACTATCTGCTTGCTTTGATCTTAGAACTGGCCTAGCAAACCACATGTTAAGAAATGTATTTAAACATTTCAGCTTGTATAGAGGATTTGAACAGGATCAAGGTGAAGTTAAAATATTTTCTTTTGAGTGACCTTAATAACATTCAGAGTTTAAAAACTGTATTTACAGTGAAAATGTTTTTCATCCTCTTTGTATTTTAGCAATGCCTTTTTATTTCTTTTTCCTTGGTCCATTCCCCAATGAGTTCTGCTTGAGCAAGCTCAGAGAGTCAACTCGTTTGCTTGATTGTGCTTTCTTTTGGGGGATTTTATTGCCTCTATAAAATAGTGGACTCGTGGGGGGAGACTGAATTTTTAAAAAAACTAAATGACAAACTTGGAAGTAAAATATCTCACCATATATACCTTTTTCAGCGTGCATCTCAGGTTTGTGTTTTTTGTTTTTTTTTAAATGGGGGGGGTTTCTTTTTACCAACATTAGCAAATGGAATACTTTTGGCTGTAGAAAGTGTGGGTTTGTTGTAGGATATATTGCAGGAATTGGTTTAATTTAAAATTGCATTCCCATGTTGTCACTGTTTACACTGGTTTAATAATATTGAAGCACCTGTGTGACAATACTTTTTAAAATAAATTGAAGTCTCAAAACCTGTTACTCACCAAAGTAAAAGCACCTGATGTTTTCATTGCAGATGCTTCTTTGACCAGACCTCTTCACCATCAAGCTTCTGCATGTCCTCACTCTCATGGAAATCCTCCTCCACAGCCACAACCTCCACCTCAAGTAGATTATGTTATCCCTCATCCAGTGCATCCGTTCCATCCTTCAATCTCCTCTCACGCGTCTTCTCATCCTGTTCCACCTCCACCACCAACTCATCCTTTAGCTAATGCAGCCGCTCCAATGCCACAGCATCTTCCTGCAACACACCAGCCTATATCCCATCACATCCCTGCAACAGCACCACCAGCACAGAGGCTACATCCTCATGAAGTGATCCAGAGGATGGAGGTCCAGAGAAGAAGAATGATGCAACACCCAACGTATGTCACAAATGTACTCAGAACAATATCTAAACATATAATTCATTTCCCTCCGGTTTGTAAAATGTTGCATGTGAATCTCAAACTGTTAATTGCATGGTTAGGAACTGTTAGTATTAAACCATGGTAAGAAGTGTCTTTACATGCAGTCACAGTCGCATGAGCATTGAGAGTGAATGAGTTCCATTACATCTCTTAACAGTGTCTCCAGGTAAGGCATGAATGGGGCGTGGAAGAGAAGGGAAACTTGTGTTTCTCTTGCCCGTTACTCATCCTCCAAATAACAGGCAGGAAGTCCTTTTCAATCCGGATAGCCTAGAAAGTACACCATAAGGCCCTTTCAAATGTGTTCTTTGACAGTGTGTTTTGCCTTGTTGGTGCTGTTAAGATGCTTTTTATCTAACTGATGCTTTAAAATAAAATGAACAATTTGTCCTGAGACCATTTATCAGGTTTAGTTCAGATTTAACCTTAGATACTTACCTAGCTTTACTATGCCTTTACGTCTTTAGAAGAGAAGGAAAAGGCTGAATGATACGTGTATGTGAATGTGACCAGTGTGGAGATGTAGCTTTGGTGGTGCTGTTTAAGAGATGCTGCTGTTGTTAATCTAGATGGGGAATGAAAAAGAAAAAAAAAAAAAAAAAAAGTAAAGCTTGTGGGCTGAGATAAAGACAGCTTAATAAGACCACAAAGGAGATAATAGTACAAAACAAGCATATACATTTTTTTCTCACCACCCAATGACCAACTGTGTAACCAGCCCCCGAGCAGTGATGGCAGAACCTGTGGGTTTCCCACACCTCACGAATTTCACTTACGAAACTCATGGGAAAAGACCAAACTCATGGAAAAGAGAGGATTCCTGCCCCCCGCCCCCGCCAACCCCCATTTATAAACTAAGCATAATGTCTGTGGTATGGAATATTTCCATTAGCCAGCTTGGGCTAGCTGCCTGGCTGTGCTTCATCCCAGTGCCTGCACACCTGCTGATTAACTGAACATGAGAAACTGAAGAAAGTCCTTGACGTTAGCAACAACTAAAAACATCAGTGTTATCTACATTCTTCTCATACTAAATCAAAAACACAGCAGCTACTGGGAGGAAAATTAACTCTATTCCAGCCAAAACTAGGATAGCATTCAATCACAATGTAACTGAAGTTATTTTAATTCTGGAGATAATGCTCTTAAATAGCCAAGAGAATTTCAAGAATGAGCTCTTTAGTTGTTGCTCCTAACTTTGTTACACAAATTCTAGTGGTAACCAACTTAAAATTGATTTAGAAGTTAATGTTTAAATAAAAATTTCCTTTAACTGCAACTTTTGAGGAAGTTTCCAGATAATTCATAACAATATCTATAGGCAGTAACTGCTCACAAAGTGGCACAGACTTCCCCCCCAACCATCCCCCAGATAAGTCAAATATAACCCTGCTTTCTCAGTCACTAAGTTTTCATCTGTCTGAACCTACACCTACTCTTCTGTTATCTTTGCTATGCAAATAGCATAACCTCTAAACACCCTAACCTAAACATACAGGCACAATCATACCCAAAAATTAATTTTGGAACATTCAAGCCAGTGAATTTGGGACAGCAAGATAGCATTTTAAGGAAAAATAATAGTGGTAGCTATCTTATCCGTTCTGGAAACTTTCTTGTAGTGTGGGAATTGGAAATGTGGATATTGGTATTTCTTAGCATCATGAAATTTTCTTTGTATGTATAGAAACTGTAGTCACAGAATCACAGAATGTTCGGGGTTGGAAGGGACCTCTGTGGGTCATCTAGTCCAACCCCCCTGCCAAAGCAGGGTCACCTAGAGCAGGCTGCACAGGACCTTGTCCAGGTGGGTCTTGAATATCTCCAGAGAAGGAGATAGCTTCTTCCTTGGCATTCTCTTGGAAGTCACCAGTCTCAGGTCAGACAGTGTCAGTTTGCTCAGTGAGATTTCTTTGTTCTGCCCTTGGTCTGTCTTTTCCCCTCTGATCCTCATACAAATTACATGCAAAATCAGTATTGTAGGTGTCTGGTCCCAACTTCATATAAATCAGGTTATACTCTGACAACGAGAAACTTGTGTGTATTTGCTCTGTTATTTAATACACAGGCCGAGACTGCCAGCAGTCTTGTAGTTCCTTCAGTTCTGTGGCTCAGCATCTCTAAGTGTTCTTAAGATGGTTCATCCTTCATTTCTAGAAATAGCGGATGGGATAGCCTAGCTTATATACCTTCTGTCTAACAATATAGGACTTTCAGGATTGGAAGAAGAGAATGGTTAGAGTCCTCTTCTCACTGTCATGTCTCAAGTGTGGGTACAACAGCTATAGCTTTCTTAGGGTCTTGGAATCAGCCACAAAATGTGCAAAAGGCAGTACATGAGGGTGCACTGAATTTGTATAACATACGGATTTTCTGTTTATTTTAAATCTTATCACCTATTTTATACTAAGATTGTGGGGTAGACAGCATAGGAGTTTTACATTCATAGAAATAATTCCAAATGTGTTTCTTTTAAGACTCATTTTAGCAAAAATGGGCCTACATGACTCTTAATTTTTATGGAACTATGGAAGTGGTTTGGCTATGGTTTTTTATTAGAATATGTTCTTCCAGATTTTTCCCCGTAGTTATTTGGTAAACTGAAGGGAGGTGAGACTAGGAGTAGGTTCTGAACATGGGTCTGTTCCTATGTTGATTTGTACCATTGCAGAAAACGAATAGCTCTGACTATTTATACGAACTTGACAAGTTTCTCTGGAGAAGTGTCAGTTTATAGTGATGAGAACAGTGTGCTGTTTAGTAACTTTTTAATTCTCTAGACATGTAAATTCACAAAATGTCTAGTCTACACTTTGTCAGGTAGTTTAAGGTGATACTGAACCTGAAGACAGTGTACTGCTTTAGGCAAAATCCAAGTTTCTAGGTTGAATTAGAAAAAAACCCAAAACTTTCTGTGTTGAAAGCAATGGAAAGAAAAATACTAATTCATTTCTTTCTGTAACTGGGAAGCAGTAAAGTAACAGAAGTCAACCAGCAGGTTTTTTTTAAGATTGTTTCCAAAACTGTAGTTGTTCTTTATGAGCTGGCATGGAAAAAACTGTGTGCTGTTATTACTTGAGCTGTGGTGCAAACATGTTTCAAGGAAAATGTCCTCCGATTAGTGTATTAAGTTTCCCCTAATTACTGTTACTGGTATAATTCTGCTAGAAATAAACTGCAGCATAGCTGTGTGAATTTCAACATGACCATCATGTGGCCTTTGCTTTCCTACCTGCAGTTTGAGGTTAGGATTAAGTACTTTGTCAGTCATTCTGTAGTCACATCTGCCAAGTGAAGGGCAGATCACAGTAGCTGAAGCTGGCTTTGTCTTTGGATATGTAATCTGTATTATAATTAGTTTACAGCTTATATCTAAAGTTGAACTTAAAATACTGTGTGAGGAGGTTATTTTAAATGCATTCTAGTAATGTAGTCTGTAATGTTTGATTATGGATATTGCTTTCTTGATACTAACAAGTATGTGAAATTAACTGTTGCTGTTTTATGTGTTTAGACGTGCTCATGAACGGCCTCCTCCGCATCCTCACAGAATGCATCCCAATTATGGTCATGGGCATCACATTCATGTGCCTCAGACGATGTCTTCCCATCCTCGGCAAGCTCCAGAGAGATCTGCCTGGTTAGTATCCAGATACTATTTTAGTTCTTCGGGACTCAGGGCAAAAGACGATAATGTGCTGATCACAGTGCTTGTAATGCTGGCTGTGATTTTAGAAAGTGCTACATGCACCTGTAGTTTAAAATTTGTAGATGTTGATATGGCTTAAAAATACTGCTTTGAGTACTTAGTATCTTAAATATATTTCTCGAGGGTTTTATCAATTGCTTTTAAAATGTAATTGAGCATTACTGACTCTAGGTAGTTATTTCAAGAATTGGTTTTTAAAATAAGCAAGTAAAATATTGCTGAAGACATTTATATTTATGTTCTTTGTAAAATAGAGGTTTGAATTTTAGTTATAAACTAATTTATTGTCTTTCCTCTTTTTCTGAACTTACTTAAAATTGCATCAGGCCCACTCACGAAGGTTACATTTAAGTTCTGCAATATATTTATTATTAAAAAAAAATACTTTTGACCATTAGGGAAAAGGTGCATGTATGATGGTGGCTGTTCCCACAGCATGAGCTGACTCCACACTGATAATACTCCTGGGCACAATACATGTGGAGTTGTCTCTGCTGCTTTATCATACTAAAACTTCACAGCTTATTTAAATACAACTTTTAGTTATTGTAGGATTAAGATGATTCTTTAGCAAAGCTTAAATAAGTTTAAAAAAATTCTTAATGTAGAACTGTTACAGTAGCTGTGCTGTGTTGTATACTTTCCAAATCAGTGGAATTCTGTCTGGGAGTCAAGATGTACATTTACCATAATGCCACTTTCATTCATGTGACAGGGAACTGGGAATCGAAGCTGGTGTGACTGCAGCTACTTACCCTCCAGGGCCGTTGCATCCTCACTTGGCCCACTACCATGCACCTCCTCGACTTCATCACTTACAAATAGGAGCTCTTCCTCTGATGGTAAGGAGATAGCTTATGAAAAATGATGCTTATTGGTCATTGTAATTATTTAGTTTGTCAGGAAAATTATTGTAAGGTTTACTGCATTTAATTGGACATGTGTACATGGCTGCGAAAGTTAGTGGTTCAACTGAAGAAGAAAATGCTCCGGTGTTTTTGTCTGTTGCTCCCACATAGGGAGGTAGAACAGGCTCATGTCTAATAAGAGAAAACAGTTTAGGAGACTAACATTTCTAACTTCAGCTCTTGTAAAATGAAACATACTTGAATTAAATTGTCACTTGCATTGCAATGCATTGACCCTCTGCATCTGATTTTTAGAGTTCACATTCTTCTTTAACGAGTTTTGGATTGTTAAAGGGTACCAACTTTCCACCCAGTGCATGAGGATTAGCACTGGTGCTTTATTTTGAAGGTGTGTATGTAGCACAGCTAAAATTCCATCTAGAAATCTGGTTGTTTTCAAATAATATTTGGTGTTCATCAGCCTAATTCTGTGTCATTAAGTGTATCATTTTATAGCATGCAGTGTTACAAGCAACAGAAGGTGTGAGAGCAAACTAGTCTGTTGTTGCATGTGACTTTTTTTAATCTAGAGGAAAATCAGCATAACTCTGACTTTTACAGAGCATTATAATTGAAAGAATGTTTGTAGGTTTACTTAAAATATTCTTAATTTTGTTTAATGAAAATTCGCAGAGACGTAAATTTAGTTTAATGGAGTATGTTTAGTGTTTCTATGTGGTGTTCTGTGTGGCTAACCCATATAATTTAACGCTCTTAAAGCTAGATAAGCTAATCAAAATTGTCAGCACATCTGTAAGGGAATGCTAAAATTTTAAGTCTTGTCCATCCAAAATTCCTCTTATTAGTAGCCAGAATTGACATCTAGGGATTGAACTGTACATTTAAAACTAGTAGTGTAATAGCTGTCTCTTTATAGTCTGGTCTTACGTCGCTTGTTCCTTGCTATTTAACTAACAGGCATCATAATAATCCTGAAGTACTTCCCTGATATATCACGACTGATACTTCATTGACGCACAGCTTGCATACTTACCACAGACTTTCTGGAGCAATCTGTAGAATTTGGCATTTCAGTGTAGTCAGCAGGATTCTTACTGCATAACTAACTCCTGTGCATCGTCTATTCAAATTAAGATTTTCTGCATTCTTCTTCAGTTAGGTGTCTAAGTGGATGAAAAGTCGCTTGCCTCTCTCACATTCATTTCGTGTGTTGTACTGTAACAGATAACATCAAGTGCTTTAGATTTGCAAAGAGAAAAGGCCCTCCTAGTAGTTCAGGGAACTGCAATTGCATTAAGAGGCAGCAAGTTAAAGATATGCCTAGTTTATGTCATTTTTTTTATCAGGGCTTTATTTCCACTATTACTATGGAGTTTCTAGAAACTTCAGAGTTCAGCTGATCCGTATATTACAGTGTGATGAGAAACTTTTAACTGCATTTTAATTTTCATAGAGGTATTCCTACAACTGAAATGTTACACAAGCAAATAGTTGTGACCATACTGTTTATCTTCGTTTTAACGGTAGAATGGAAGAAAGCTGTGATATTCAGAAGTATTTCCTGAATGTGTGATAAAATACTTTAGGGAGTCTTGCTTTTCTGTTCAGTAACTGCTGTTGCTAATTGATAGAAGTGTCGGATGCAATAGGGTTCTTTAACTCTTACAGAAACTTATGTCTGTGTGTGTTTGTGTAGGGATATCTAATCCTCATAACAGTAATTCACGAATCTCTGGTTGAAATGGAGTTGGAAGTTGTTTGTGTGTTAAGTTTTTGTACGCACTGTACCGACAGCATGTTTTACAATGTGTAGACTGCTGTAAGCAGTACTTCCTCAGATGTTTGGGATCTGTTTTGAATTTTGCTGTGATCAGATTGAGTGTTACGACTTTGAAGTGGTGTTCTGAGTCTCAGACTAATTTGAAGTATATTCAGATTACACACACTAGAACATAAAGGCAGGTTAGAGCACTGGTAGAAGTTACATATACAATGAGTTCAAGGCATTACAAATGCCTGTTGATGATTATACCCCTTCTATGGCAATAATGAAAGCCAAAGTTTTCTTTGTTTGCATGTATGTGAGAGTACAGCAGATCTGTCTGCAAAATTGACCTTGAGTATAGAACAAGTAGTCAGTGAAGTTTTTCACCTAACAAACTTAAGTGGATATTAAACAAAAGTGCCATTTTAGTTTTCATTAAAGAGCAATAGATTAATTGCAGCTGTCACCTGGGTTTTTTCACTGTAACTTTAGGAATAGGGGCAGGGGAGGAGAGCCTGAACTGTGATTAGAGTCCCTCTGCCAAGTGGCTCATGTTATGAGGAGTGCTTTCGTCTTTCAGTAAGTACACAGGGTACTAAATAGGGTACTAAATAGCTATATACAAGGCTCATTAGTTGTGTTCTTGATGCGGATGTCATCAAATGGTGATGTTCTCTATTCTTTATTCGGGGGGGCAAGAGTCTTTACAAGTAACTCATGCAGTAGCTCAACTGAAAAAATCCATTTGTCTTGAATTCACTTTCTGAAATACCATGCTGCCCAGTAGGCAATGTGTGTTTTTTCTGTCTGTTCTGGAGTACTAAAACCCCTTCCCACTACTGCCAGAACATAAAGGGCATAATGGATTATTTGGGCTTTAATGACACTAGCACTCTGATATGTCAATTTCAGGTTGTAATTGGATGCAGACAACCAATTCTTCATCCAGTGAGTGCTGGAATGTAGACTGCAGTTTTAATCCTCAGGGAGACAAAACAATAAAGATTTGTTGGGAAATATAAGTAGCTTTGACAGTCTGAATGGAGGGTGGGGGAAACAAAATCTTTTCTATTAGCTTGTTGAAGAACTTTCACCTGTGTAAATGTTGCTTCAGGAGGAATCTTAGATTAAAAGCAACTAAAAACAGCCTCCTGCTTATCTATGTAGACAAGGATTAGGCTGCTTTGCTACTTGATTTAGCACAATTACTTTAAGTGTGACCTTGGCTTAGAGTAGTTTGTGTTCCCATCTTTGTTGCTTTAGTGCTGTGTATGTGTTGAGGAAAGATCTTCTGTCAAAGTGATGTTTATGATGGATTCCGTTCTGGACAACTATCCATTCTGTGAACTTCAGCAGCATTTTTAGGAAGAATCAACTGAGGATCAGTGCATGGCATAACTGATGAAACATCAGACAAACAAGACACAGGAGAGAGAGGCGTTATATGTTGTTCTAATGCCAGTGCTTGTTGTTAGATGCCACTTCAATTTCTGTTTACTCTGAGTGACTTTGGCTGCTCTTTTGACACTGTTGATGAGAAACTTTCTGACTCAGAGTACCCAGCACCAGTGATCACATCTGAGTGGACAAGATGGGAATTTCTGTAATTTAATAAGCTGAGGTGGACGTTAAAAGGAGTGTGACTTTTTCATAATGAGCGAGATACCAGCCGTAGTTCTGACTAACCAAACTGTACTTACAGCTGTAACAAGCAGAATTCCTTTTCTTCTGTTGCTTCAGGAGAGAAAAGGCATACTGGTTTGTAGTGAAATGCAGGAGGGGATAAGTCCGAAAAGAAACCTCCAGAAGATGTTTCTAAATTTGGCCTGGGGACACCCTGAAATGGTCCCCTTCTCTATACTGCTGACTCTCCAGTGTCTTTTGTTTTCCAGTTCTCCATTTACCTGAATGACCAGAATGCTAATGTTTTTCAGGCTTCAAAGATAAGAAAGGATTAGAAAAATCGAGAATAGTGTGTTATTTGCTATAAAGTTTCAAAAGTCTGCAGACATTTGTTTAGCAATTGTAGTTTAGTTCAGCTTTGAAACAGGAACTTGCTCTGAATATGAGTTTGTTACTACGACACTTAAAAAAAAAATCAATGCTTTGTATTTTAAATGCACTCCGTTAAAGAAGCGGTTGTTTTTGAGTTGGATTTGTTCCTTTTTGTCATTTAATGGAGAGTGGGGTGGAAGGTTAAATCTAGAAGGTCTTGTTTCTCCACTGTTCTATCGTCTTCTCTTCATAATGAAAGAAGAAAAATAAAATTTCTTCAGCTCAACGCTGATAACTAAATTTTAAATGGAATATAGACCTGAAGTGAGCAGTGTTGCCTTTGTGCCTTTTAACTTGGTATACTTCTACTGTTGTTTAGGTGAATAAATAACTACAACTGGTTTGGGGTTCTGACTAAAATTTAAGCAACAAACCTGCCACTGATAGAGTATCCTATTCAGCTTGTTGGTTTAAAACATGCAAAGCTGTCATAGATACAATTTTCAGATCATATTATGCATAGTAGTGGGATTTGGGTAGTTTTAGAGTGATTTTTTTGAGGTTTTTGTTGTTTGGGTTTTTTTAGTTTGTTTTATAAAATACATGTTAAATAAAGGAGGCTATCTACATGCCTCTCAAATTGTTTCAACTACCTGTTAATCAAAGAAGTTCATGGGATATGCTGTTCCAGTCTCTTGACACCAGCTTCTACTTCCTTTTTGAATCGTGTCCTATTGATTGTGAATTTCAGGGGAGGGAATTACCTGGACTTTACAGTTTGCTAACTGTGGTGTAATCAATCTCTTTATGGTTGATGCAAGCCTAGAGAAGACTCCTTAATTTCTTTGTGAACCTAGGACTGCAGCTTGCCAGTCAGAGGGAGATCTCTGGATCACAATTTAAAAAAAAAAAAAAAGTTACTTATGGTGACTTAACCTCTTTCAAGTGTTACATGTCCAGCTTTCATATGCTGTCCCCCCTTTTTCTTCTGTTTCAGAGCCTTACTGATTTGTTCCTTTAACTGTCGAATGATTCAAAGTGGTTGAGGCCACCTTTACACTTAATTGTAAAAATTGAGAGGGATTTGGAGGTATAGGCCAGTAGGTCCCAGTACATTATGGTAGATGTGTGCTGGTCAGAATAATATCACTCAGAGTGTAGTCATACAGGTATCACAGCTCTAAGAGATACAACTGTTCTATACAAAAAAGCTAACAAACTTCCTGTAAAATATCTGAACACTTAGCTTAAGGCTGTAACTTAACATAGCTCTAGTAGTTCAAGGTGAACTTCAGGTTTTAAATAGCCTTGATTAACTGCATCAAATTTTAGTGCATTTTTCAAATAAGAAAATGGACTTTTGTAATGTAGCTGCTACTTTTTTCTTGATATAAACACAAATTGCTGTTCTTCAGTTTTCTGTAGAATATAGGATATTGAAGAGCGCTCATTTCATGGTCCCATCAGACACAGATACAGTTAGGTTTTAGCTGTGCAGCACGCATTACTTGTTCCTTCACAGAGTTTGTCTCTGTGAAACTGCAACTTTTCCTTGTTTCAATTTGGCTTATTAAGATATTAGTTGATGAGCTGCTTTTTGAGTATTGATGTGGACCAAAGCAGTTAACTGGATAAGCTTATTGTTGAGATTTGTTTTAATGTATATGAAGATCATACTTAATGGGAATCACTGAATAAAAGGTTGGGATGGACAAGATAAGTAGTACCATACCATGGAAGAATCTCTTCACTGACTGTTGCAACTGAAACGCAAAAATATCCTGGAAAGATGGAAGGTGTTTAAAGGAAGGTAGCAAGGAAAAAAATATTTCCTGCAGGTTAGCTATTTTAAACTGTTTCAGAATGTTGGTGTTAAACGGTTCAGACTTAGCCTTGAATTTTTTACTTGCTGCAAATTTTTGTGGTAGTGGGAAGTGTCAATAGAACATCCAAAATCGGAAACAGATAATAGTTGTTTTCCAGGAAACAAACAGTGCTTGGCAAACTTGTACTGGAATTTGCAGGTCCAGAATGTATTGCTGTAAAGTATGTATTATAATTTGACTGTGTCCAAAACAATATATACAAGCACTTTGTGCAGACTAGCATTACCTTTAACTCTTTACTTTCTTCATTAGCTTTAAGCTTTTCCTTTTTTCTTACGTTCAATATGAAAACTTACTGAGAAAACACTTCCATTTGTGTGTGGAGCTGTTTCAAGAGAGCTGAAATCTTGGCTTTGAATTTGAAGCTTGATGGTAACTGCCAAAGGGTTTTTAGCTGGACTGTTCTTAGTTGGGAATTATTGATAGTTCTGCCTTGCCCATCTTTCCTCCAGCTTGTAGTCACAAATGCAGTTAGGTTAAAAACTTGCTATGTTAGCAGACTGCTTATTCTGCAGGTGTAAAAGATCAATTTTTTTCTTACAGATATGTTTTTTTCAAAATGCAGTGTTTTACTCGGCCGGAAATGTAAGCTGTGCTCTCACAATATTTTTATAAGAGAGCCTGTACATAATGGATATTCAGATAATTTTGCGGAGGTGTTACGCCGTTCTCCATCAGGATAATACAGAGGCACATTTATTAGCATGAAAATGTATTGTCCCACCCAATGTTTCTGTTGTTTAAGTTCAGTAGTTCATTGTGATATGTACTCTGAGAAATTCTTGGTTGGTTCTGTAGTGCTAAAATTGAATTTAGTAGATTTCTTAAATAGATGGCCTCCAGTACCAGAGTTTTTTCAAATGGATGCGTGTCACTGCAGTTGGTAAACTCTAAACTTTGAGGCAATTGGAAATGTAATTATTGCATTGCAGCAATACACCTGTGACTTCACAGCTCCTCTAATGATGCAGCGTCTGTGCTACAGGATGCATTGTTTTTCAGCAGACTGTTTTCAAATCCTGGTGAATCAAAAAACCAAGCAGTGAAAGTCATCCTGCGACTCCGGTTAGTTTTTGTCAGGAGTTTCCTTTCCTCTGAGTGGAGGCAGTCAATGCACGGTGTGTAACAGCAGGCTTCCACGTGATGCCAAACAGGTCTATGTCTAGTAGAAACCTGGGGCAAATATGTTCATAGTGTGGATGGGTGACCCAGTTCTTTAAATGCATTTTCTGTAATTGGAAGATGAGGTATAATTACACACTTGAATGGAGAATGGATTGTAAGTCACTGATTATCTGAGACAGATCTCTTACAAGGTAGTTTTTACAGATTACTTTATTTTTAGTACTCTCCCCCAAATTCCTTTGTTACAGCCACAGTTTGTATTGTCAAACAGTGAGACCTCTGACACCAACAGATGCTACTTACATGAAATGTTTAGGTATGCCGATGAATATACGTATCTTGTGATACAAAATTGGCAGTCATTTAGAATTCATGTATGAATATATCATCTCTGTAAATACACTGTGCATATTGCATAACAACTTAGATCTTTAGATTGATACGCTGTTGGAGTTTGCAGCAGTCATTGGGTCTCGCTTGTTTCCCATCTCCAGCTCTGATTAGTACCTGACCAACAGACACTTAGGCTATCTGTGAGAGAGGCACCTCCTGTATTAGGTATTCTGGAAGTGCTCCGAAAGTTAAATCTTCGGTTTGTATTACTCTGGTTTGTAAAAATCTGCTGCTAGTATTATGGCTGTATTTGTGGCTTATATTGGCACTAGATGGTCATCATTTAACAAGCACCGTGTAAACTGCTTTAAAATAATCAGACTCTGGTTTTCTGTTCTGAGAAAGATTATCTAGGGCAGAGAAATCTTTTCTATCCCTGTCAACTTTTAGTTACCAGACTGCTTTTGAAAAATATAGAAAGGTAGATTATTGGTCTGTTATGTGAGTAACTTTGTCTAGGCCTATGCTTTCTCACAGTGCGTTAATTCAGTTTTCCACCTTTAAGTCTGTTAGAGGTGCCTGCTGGAAATAAGAAAAGCCATGCATGAATACGTGATTTCATGAGTAATATCTGGGATGTCTGACTTATTGACAGCCTCATGAGATGAATTTTGAGCTGTCACATACAGCAATAGAGACATTACCAGCTGATAGCACAGAAAGGAAGATAGTACTTCTGAAGTCCTTAGAATTATTTCCAAATGAGCTGCTGCTTACAGTCCTCGTATCAGTGCACTCTACGTGATCAAGTAAACTGAATCTGCTGATCATTTTGTGTTTGGGGTTTTTCTTTCACCTGTTCATTAAAAATTGCCACTGCTATGTTTCTGGCAAGAAGTCAGCACTGTTATTCACTCATCTTGCGGGGGTAAAAATGGAACGCAGAAGCCCTGCTATGAGGGTTGTCTGTGGTATTTTAACTACCTTTCTGCTTTCCTGTATGAAAAGTGCTGGTGTTTGAAGTGCCTGCAGGGTATATCACTGGACACTGCTATTTTGTTCACTGCTTGTATCTCTTAATATACAAGGAAGTCAGCAGATACTTGAACTCTGCACTCTGTGGAGTGTATGTAGAGTTGCCTGTGATTTTAGATGTGAGTTTTGAGTGTTACTTTTTTTTATCTGCCTCTAAATTTGAAGTGTGTCTGAAGATGTTTAGTTATTTTGGGTAAGACAAGGATTTCGGCTGTTTTTTCCAGACTATTAGCCTGGTTTCTTCTATGGTACCAAAAACTTACATTTGAGAATCTATAGCAAGTCCTTTTCATAACTTTGTGCATAGCCTTTAGGTGTTTTGTTTTCAAAAATAGGTAGATCTTTCTGGTGGTTTATACAAAGTAGGTTGAGATTTTGAGGCTTGGGAAGTGAGAGTGAGCAATGCGTAACACAGATGTGGAGAGATTACAGTAGAGGGTCTAGTCTTACTTGTGTTTTGCCTCTGGTTATGTTTAGAGAGCTCAGAGTGGTGGTGTGTTATGTTGTCAGTTGGAACTGTATCCTCAAGATGAGGAGTATAAGTAATAAGTGATTCAATAAAAGCAAAAAGATCTTAAATTTTACAAAGTGAACAGTAAAATACTGAAACTGTTCTGAATAGGTTTAACTTAACGTCTGCTGTTTGAATAGGTACCAGACATGGCGGGCTACCCTCACATCCGTTACATTTCATCGGGATTGGATGGAACATCATTCAGAGGCCCTTTCAGGGGCAATTTTGAGGTTTGTAATAGAATAAAACTAGATATATGTCAAAATGTGTCATGAGGGAACATGGGGAGGGTGTATCGTAGAGCTAGTTCTATATATAGATTTAAAGAATAATAAAGAAAATACCCTTTATTTATAGAATGTCTTCACCATCGTGAACTGGAATAAAAGCAAATTGAAAAGTGAGTCAGTAAAAGGTGCCCTGGACAATGTAGGCTTTAGGTGGTTATTAAGCAACAGTACATCTTGCTCTGCCCACCACCCCTGTTAGTAGGATGTAGTATTCACATGATATGTTGGTGAAAGGTAGTGGTGTCTCTGAATAGCTGTGCCAGGATCCTCCTAGTGAGGATGAAAATTGGCAACTATAGCAGTGCTGTCCTGTTTGTTACGTAGTGCAGGAGTTGAAACTGAAGGAAGGAAATCAAGAAAAATGGGAGAAAATAAAAGGTATCAGATGCAGAGAGTTAATGACCTGGTCCACTGAAAACATCATCAGTGACATCTCATGGTTCTAATAAACTCATTGCTGGAGAAAAATAAATCAGTCATCGTATTTCAACTTAAGCAACTTTTTTTTTCTTCTAAGCCTTAATGACTGTTAGAAAGCAAATATTTACATAGTGCATTTTAATTCCATTTTCCTCATTAGACACACAGGTATGTGTGAACATACTGAGAACTATTCCTAGCTGACAAACAATTTCTGATTTTTTTTTTTTTTAGTAGTAAAATAGATTTTCCCTTTAACTTAAAATGGTTAATGGTTGTGTGTGTTTTTTTACAGAAACCCATCACTTTTCCCACACAACATACTCTTTTTTGCTTTGCCTGCATTTGAATAAGTTAGGAATTGAGAGTTTGTCATTCTGTAAATGGGTTAGAATAAAATTAATATTTGCTCAAGGTAGTTGAAATAACAGTTCTTATACTGTTTATTCCTTGGTAATTTTTTAGGAGCTGATTCACTTGGAGGAACGATTAGGCAACGTTAATCGTGGAGCAACACAGGGAACTATAGAAAGATGCACATATCCACATAAATACAAAAAGGTGAGCATTTCTCAAATTGTGACCTGTCTGTAATAATTCTTTGAAAGTGTAATAATGTTTGTTTAGCTTAAATCTGCAGCAATGTCAGCTTCAAAGAGTGCATGTTTTCTGTATCTTTCAAGGAATGTAAGCAAAGCTTACAATGCCACTTCTTTCACAAAGAAAACTAAAAATTTGGTCCCTGGATAAAGAGCTACTCTAATGTAATAAAAGTGGTTTAATATGATTTAATAACTTTTCAGCAGTTACGAATAGCCTTATGAGCAATGAAATAAATATTGGTAGTAGCTAAATTGTCAGCAGACTTCAGTGATAACTCATCAAATGAAGTGAGACTTTATTTTTGCAATAAATTGTTCATGATGCTTACCTGCTTGGTATGTATTGTTTTAACCTTTACTCTGATCACATGAGTAAGACTAGGACACGAGGAAGTTTTGAATCTGGTACAGAATTTTGGCAACTTGTCTCTCAGCTGGAGCTTATGATACCATAATACAGAATCCCATCCACATTTACATAGTGTTCTTTTGCACTTGATGAATAGTGACTTAAGATACTAAGTTTGAAAGGATTTTATTTTTTCCCTCTTCATGAATTAAGATGTTTATGTATAGACAACAAGTAAAAGACTGCAACAATATGAAATTAATACATTCACAGTCCAGTAGACTTTTGTAATTAACAATAGCTAAATAAATCTGAAATATCCTCTGATTTTGCTCTAGGTGCTACTTCTTGATTCGTTTTGGTTCAAATATATTTGAATAAATATGAAATGTTTTCAAAGTATGTGTTGAATATGTATTAAAAACAGATTTTACTCAGTTTGTCAATAATGTCATCTCTACTAATAAGGTAACAACTGATTGGTTCTCACAGAGGAAACTGCACTGCAAACAAGATGGGGAGGAAGGAACAGAAGAAGACACAGAGGAAAAGTGTACCATCTGTTTGTCTATACTGGAGGAAGGTGAAGACGTCAGGTAAATCATACCACTGAATGTCAGAACGTAATGTTAATATTCTGGCTTTGAGACCGTGCTTGAATATGGCACACTACTCTCTGTAGTACTCCCTAGGTTAACAGTTACAGTTAAAGACTATCTGTCATTGAACCAATAAACAAAACAAGTTGCAACTGAAAACACACGTTGTTTTGTCTGTATTGTCTTTGGGTAGAATGTAGATTATTTTCTTATGGTCTTCCATAAGCTGACTGTAACATGAGCCCAAGCTGATAATCCTGAATTAATCAGGATTGTCAATTTTAGTTTTTCTGGAGTAATGCTACTTAAGCTATAAGAAGTTTAAATTAGTGTAATACAGCAGAAGCTAGCTGATGCTTGACTTCATTGCCCATATCCATTTCTTCTTGGAGCTAGACAAAACGCAGGTTCAACAGGAAAGCTAGGGAAACTTGTGGAAAAACAGGCACATGTAAAAAGAATAGACACCTCAACAGCAAAACCCACATTACTGTTTTTCCAATGGCTGTCGGTATGGAAATGCTTTACTAACACTTGTGTTTTTCTGTTCTGATGACAGGCGCCTTCCGTGTATGCACCTTTTCCACCAAGTATGTGTAGACCAGTGGTTGATTACTAACAAGAAGTGCCCCATTTGCAGAGTGGACATTGAGGCTCAGCTGCCTAGTGAAAGTTGACACCGCTTTCCAGAACTCTTGTCCTCCCTCTGGCTCCCTCTCATCCTTCCTGGTACTGCAGTCAACCAAAGATGGCATGACTTACCTGCGCAGATTTGGAAGCATTGAACCTAGAGTGCTGGCTCTGCTATATGGTACAACTAATGCTAGACCTACGGTTTATGTAGAAGACACTTGAGTTTCAGTGTATTTATAAAACTTTTTTTAGGTTTTGCATTTTTTCTTTTAATTCATTACTGTATTTTTGCATGGTTTCTTGTATTGCATTTGTTTGCACATATTACGGGCTTTGTGACCCCAAACTTGCAGGCAAGATTAGCTGCTTTAGTAAGTAGAGTTGTGTGGTCTCTCTTTTTGGTTTGTTTTACATAGTATCGAGCTTTGAAAGTATGATTTCACTCATTACTAACCTTGGATTCTTTAATTTAATCGATCAAATATTTTAGTTTAAATGTATAAAGATCATCTAGAAAATGATAATATTATGTATTGAGACATTCCTTAATGAGGAAAAAATGGCTGCTGTATATTTACAATATCAGTTCTGAGACAAATAACATCCTTAATACTGGGAACAGAATATGAACTATATTCAGTTTGACTGATACACATAGCATACTCATCACCACAGTTTTTGTCTGATCAGATTTTTGTGTTCGTTTTGAAAATTTCAGCACAATGCAGATATATTTGAATGTCAATATTAAACATTTAGACTGCTGTTCAAATTGTATTTATCATTTTCTTCCTATGTCTAGAAATTTGAATCCCTAACTTAAATATTTGCTGCTGTGAAACAGCTCTAGTGAACACTAAATGTTGATTTCAGTTAGCTGGATTGTAGATACTTGCAGATTGGAAGAATTATTAGGGAAATGGAAAAAGAGCTTAGAATCTGTTTGGTCTTCTGCTAACTTAAGTTGAAATATCTGCGTACATTGAGGGGGTTTATTGGTTTGTGGGTTTTGTTTTATTTTAGGGTTTTTTTTTAACTATAAAGCAATCCAGTAAGGACTTAGAGCTGCAGGGGTTTTGGTTCTTGTTTGTTTGTTTGTTTGTTTGTTTTTTGGTATTTAGTTTTTGTTTGGGGGGGTGGGGGGGTGGCAGATACACATGCATTCGTAGAACTTCTAAGGATTCCAGGCTTGTCTTGGGATTTTTATTAGTTTTAAAGTTAATAAAGTTAGCTAAATCCACTTGTCTCGTGTTTTATTTTTCATTAGTAAATTGAAAGCCTGTAAATTTCTGTAGAAACTGAGACACAAAGTATGTGGTTACCTAGTTTTTGCCTTGATGATAGATTCCCTCTTTATAAATTACCAACAGTCCATCACTGAAAGAAATATTTTCTATAGTTAAGATTTGCTGCATAATATAGTATATAGAATTAAGTTATAATGTACTAACATTTCCCCTTTGGAGGAGGTTTTAATCCACATCTGACTTGAAGCTCATCAACATTCTTTCACATATGATAGATTATAGTTTATTTAAATGTGCTCAACATTGCAAAATGCAAATGTGCAAAAACATTGAGACAGTATTGCTGTCACTTTGGAAAAGATGTTCCTCGGGGATCATTAATGAACATGTCGATAAGCTTGCATTAAGCCACCTGCTTTGTAAGTGGATTAAATAATAAATACCTTCAGTTTCTCTTGTCTTTGTCTTTCATAATCAGATTGTGTAAAATGGTTTACAGTGAACCTAGAAGATGAACTGTTATGTTTACACTAATAGTGATCCATTTATAAATATTACCTTATCTAATTTGATGCCTGGTTTTGTCTGGTTAAAGCTGCTTTTTTTTTTTTTTTTTTTTTTTTTATTTTTTTTTTAGCATTTGTCAGTGCAGTCTCTGTTGCTGGCAACAAACTTAACACCTCTGAGACTGAGGCTTGGAGAGAAATTTTATTCTAGCATGTGTGATGATGAATGAACATTTTCAAGCTTAATTGCATTGCTAAAACTGAACTTAAAACCACTTTGTGCTTGTACAGTGGGGGATATGGGAGAGAGGCAATATGGGCTTCAACTGCTTCAAAACCTGACATGGTTTTAGGCTAGAGCTTCTTGAACATTGTGACCGTAGGAAACGGAAAGTGACTATGAAGCTGAAGCTGCATTGGTAGAAATGGATAAAAGCAACAGGAAGGCCTGAAAAGACACTTTCTGTTCTTTGGTGACTGTTGAAAAGGAGGGAAGTTAATTGACCACTGATGCTTGAAGTCTGATGATACTTACTTTTCAAAATTTCCAAGAAGGCACTTGAGAGACATGGAACAAAAAACCCAGGGCCTCTGAAATAATCGAGACCCTGGGTATGTGATAGAATCTATTTTGGTTTCCTTACAGGACAAAGAAGCAAAGATTTGGGGGATTTTGGGGGTTTTTTTTTTCTTCTTTTTTTTAAGGAAATCTTTTGTTTGCCTGACTAGGGTGCCTGTACTAGAGGTATTTTAGTGGTCCATGAATTGACTTGTTTTATAACTGCTACTGGTATTGTCTTGCTTTTAAATATATGCCTAACATTGTAATGTGATGTTGAAACTTAGGTATTTGCCAGGAATCACAGTGTTCTGATCTTACATGCTATTGCAGGGGCTAATAAAGCTGCAGCCTACTTCCATTACAGCAAGTTGTGACTTGACCATAATTTAAGGGAAGGAAAAAGAATAGGCTTTTGATTTTGAAAATTTCCACCACTTACTGTGCTTTATATGCTTAGATGCATTGCCTTAAGTTTTCTGCAGCATCTTTGACTTTGAAGATAAGATTCTCAGCAGTATGCATCAAAGTACTTCTCATATAAAATTCCATTGTCGAAAGAAATCCTTTTTGTATGCAATAAATAAAATGTGAGAGTGGTATAATTCAAAATCTGTTTCTTATGTAAGTTTGGTTTTTTTCCCCTCTTTTGCCTTGTTTTGCATTTCCAAATCTTGGTCCGCAAAAACTCTTGCGCACGCGTGTTCTTCCAGGTACTGCCTAAGAACGAGCCCTCGGGGTGAAGAGCAGCGTTACTGAGCGACAGCGGCATTCGCTGAGGCGTAGAACGGCCTGGCCGGCCGGCGTGCCCCAGAGCT